TTCAAAATACAAAATAAAAATGATTGGTTTAATATTAGAATATATTTTTATTATTATTATTTTTTAAGAAATAAAAATTAGTTTGACACAAGTAAACATCAAAAAATAATTTTTGAAATTTTAAAAATTACTTGTGCTCTTAGAAAAGATAAAATCTAGTGAAAGTAATGAGTGATTTTATTTTTCATTTTTTTACTAAATTAGTTTAAAGGTTTTTTTGAAAAAATTTTAGAAATTAAATTCTCAAACCAAACCAAATGTTGGTGTGCGATTTCATGTTGAAAAATATTTAATATAGCAAAATTTTATTTAGTACATAAATAGATTTCACTAACATATATACGATTTCATTAAATAGTTAAGATAACAAAATTTTTTATTTTTTATTTTTCTGTAATGAAATCATATGAATTTGGATTATGTAATAATACAAGTTTGCAATATTGACTATTTTTCAACATAGAATTACATCTTGAAATTTTAATTTCATTATTTTGCTTTTTCAAATTGTGATTCGGTAAAATCGTGTATCCTACATTAGAATTTCTTGAAAATCAATTCAACTAAAATCTCATTTTCAAAATGATATACCCAATCTTATGTTTAAATCACGACTCAAAATGAGTATTGAAACATCATTTTTGGATTAATGTTGAAATTATGTTTTGAAAATGGAATTTAAAGACAGTGTTGAAATTGCATTTTGAAAATGCAAGTTTACTAATGCAACTTTAAAGTAAACTTGCATTTTCAAAACACTATTTCAATATAGTTACATTGGCAACTTTACGCGGCGAGTCACCATGAAAGTGTATTTTGAAGATGTGATTTTGTCATAAAATTGCATTTTGAAGACGCAATTTTAAAAAGTTCGTTAATTTGTTAAATAATTTGAAAAGTGTGTTATTTCTGTACATTGTTTAATTTTTTAGAATATTATGAAAAAAAAAAACTCTTGGAATTAGGGGTGGGAATTCCCGACACGACAAATATAACACGACTCGAATCATACACAAAGTTAACGATTTAGGGTTGAGTATTTTCCGATACGAACATGTATATGACACAACCCATGAACCTCGTATTCGATTTGAACCTGTGACATCTGATGATGACATGTGTAACCCATTTATTTTAACATGTAACCTGTTTACATGAACACGACCCGTGACCCAAAAATGGCCTAATTACGACCTCTGTAACTTTATATATAAATAGATATTTATATCCAACTCATAGCTCGGCCCAATTTTTACTCAGAATTACCCTCTCAATTGCCTCTTAATCCCATCTGCACAGCATGATTGGGATTACCAAGTGTCCAGCCGAGCTAGACGTTTTCAAGCTTTTTCCAGCCGAACTAAAACATCGTTTTAGTCGTTCCAGCCGAGCTTATTTTACTCCGGCTCTGCTTGTTCGGTCAAAACGTCCCTTCAATCACTGACTGTAACGCTTCACTTTCCAATGACACGTGGCAGGTCCTGATAGGCTGTGAGCTGTTATCACGCCGCCCTCGTACTACGAAACTTTTGAACAGTCCCGCCCCTTTTTGTCGCTTTTTCTCTCTTTTTTTTCACAAAACCACCCTTTCATTTTTTCAATCATTTACTCTACTCCTTTCTTCTTCTCTCTCTTGTTCCTGAGCCCCGAGTTTGAGCTCGCTGTGTTTGTGCCCTCCATTACTGCCACTGCCTCCATCTTCAAGCTTCTTCCTTCTTACTCTGGTAAGCAAATCTAACCTTCTCGCTTTGTTTGTTTTTATATTTTGCTTTCTATGTTTTTGTGAAACATTTTTCCTCCATTTCTGCTTTGCTGCTTCTGTTCTTCTATAAAAAGAACTTTAACTGTAGAACACATGTGTGTGGATCATTTTGTAGAAAACTAGTTTTAGATCCAAAATCATGTAGCAACCGAACTAGAATACTGTTTGTCTTATATAGGTAGACCACTTTTAGCAAATAACCGAACTAAAACTTAGAAGAAACAGTAGTTTCAGTGGGTTATCAATTCTTGAGTTACTCTAGCCGAGATAAGTCCACCGAACGAAGTTCAAAACTCCTTTGTTTGAGGAACCTCGGTCTCAACCGAGGTAAGCCTTGGGGCTAAGCCAGCTTTCCTAGTTTCTAAACCAAACTCAGAAAGCTGCCCCTAGAGGCTCAACTGAAATAACAAAACTCCTAGTTCAACCGACTTAGGCCTTTGGGGCTGAACCAGCTTTCTTAGTTTTTTAGACCGAACTCAGAAAGCTGCCCCTAGACGATGAATCGGTCTAAAAATTGTTTCCAAAGCTAGTATGCCGAGATGTCTTCCAAGATTTGGTCAATACGCACTTTGCACAAACCGAGCTCCCAAACATTTTTGCTGAACTGAGGTAGAACCTGTCTTTAAAACCGAAGTAGGGCTCTTTTACCATGTTTTTAATTTGTAGCACGGTCCAGTGATCTGTGCTTAACCCCTTTGTTTTCTACTTTGCAGACTTAGGTTGCCCAGGCACTCCTGCGTGCGCTCGACCGAGCTACTGGGCACAATATTTGCACCGAAATAACTTATTCTTAAATTATACGATAAATGGGGAAGTATAGATACCTAGTAGATACTCCGGGCGGCCTAGCCGAATTCAGGAAAGACTACCAAATCCCTGACGACGTCCAACTGGTTTTGGCCGAAAAAGACATCATTCCATGGGGTAATGAGGGTTTCGTCCCCTTCACCCTTTTATCCATCATAGAAACCGGACTACGGTTTCCGGTTCAACCGTTGATTTGTGAATTTCTTAGGCAGACCAGATTATGCCCTACCCAACTCTCCACCAACTCCTACCGCATCATCATGGGAATAGCCGAACTAAACCGAAAAGCCGGACTAAATCTTGGCCTGGCCGAAATTTTCCATCAATACTCCATCGGCTCAAAAGAGGATGGGTGGGTCTATTACCTTAGGATTCGCCGCCGCCGAGAGAAGATAATTAAATATACACCGGACAAAGACCTAAATGACGATGATTTTTTCTGGGTCTCTGGGAACTTTGAGGATTTTCAAGCCCAAATTCCTGGCCGACCTATAAATTGGAAAAAAGGAGAGCCTGGTAATTTAACTTCGGTCTTCTTCCTTGCATTTTTACTTCGGTTTTTTTATGTTTCAGCCGGTCTAACAGTTGTCTTTTCTCGCAGATTTTGCCCACATTTACTCTCTATACAGTTATCCAAACCTTGCAACTTTGCGAGCTGCACTACGATATCCTGAACGTAGCTGGGCCAAATTGCTGCAATTCGAGCCGACCTACCGATATAGTGGTCGCCGGAAAGCCAGAGTGACCGACTTTCTTCTTGAAGACGCCCCAGAATCGGACCCCACCTTGCCCGAGATCAGACTGATCCCACTGACAGCCGAAGAAGAGATGGCGAAAAAGAACAGAGTCAGGGCTCTTTTAACCGAGACAACAAGGCCCGAAGTAACGCCACCCAGCCAATCGCAACCTGCTGTTGTGGCCCTCCCTTCTCAACAGCCGTCCTCTTCTCGCCGAACCAAGCGCGCCCGGACTGCTGAAACCGAACAAATTTTGGTTGATGAAGCAGAACCCGCACTTCCACCGAGCTTGCCACCGAGCCCCCAACCGGAGCCCTCTGACCGAACGAAAAGAGGATTCCATTCGACTCTCTCTGCACTCAAACTCTCTCCCTATATATATATATATATATATTCATTCTATTTTCCTTCCTATGTACCTGACTTTAGCATCAGAGTGGTTCTTTGGCCAACCTCGGCTGAGCAGCTTTCACAGTGTTCTTGTTTTTGCAGATCTCTGTTCCTCGATTGTCCAGTTTAATTATGGAGCTCCAACTGATTCAACAGTGTGAAATCCCCTCTCACACAAAGTCTAATAATTTTCTAATGTGATAGAGGTTACACATACACAAATCCCGTTCAACATGACAGGACAAAACATGTTGAGATTGATCGCCACTTCATTGAGGAGAAACTCACTAGTGGTACCATTTGTACTCCTTTTGTCCAGTCTGGTGAACAACTTGCTGACATTCTCACCAAGGGGGTTGGGAATAAGCCATTTCATGACATTAGGCAAGCTGGACATGAGAGATATCTTCGCACCAGCTTGAGAGGGGGTGTTAGCATATTTTATTATCATATTACTATCTGAGTTATTGTAATTATTCCATGCCTCAGGGCTTCCTTGTAATATTTACAAACTTTAATCTTCATTAATATAAATAGGGGATGATATCCTTATCAAACCCTAAGCTAGTTACTCTCTACAATCCTCATATAATTCATATCAAAAGATGAATAAATAATGATGGGGAAATTGTGACTGAAGAATCTTAACAGTTGTTGCAGTTTGTAAGTTCTGATTGTGGTAATGGTTTTCATGTTTCACAGATAGAAAAGAAATGAAAGGCATACTATCGTAAGGATAACATGAGTTGAGATGAGTTTAATTACTAAAGTGTTTTATGCATCTTTTCCTGATTGAGGTATGCAAGAAAACCTCCAAAACAAAATTTTCATTCAATTATATGTGCTTAAAACATATGGTTGGATTTTTTTATGAGGCATAGAAAGTGAACTCTTTGGATTGACAATGACTAGTGTGCTGTCTGCTGAGGCATACACAATGATACGTATTACATACTGCTCGTCCCAATAACTAACATAAGAAAATAAACTTCCACTTACAACAGCAACTACTCCTGAGTGAGTAAACTTTGCCAGCATTTCAAGAGGATTTTCTTGGATATTTTCAATGGTTTCATCGAGTGCTACAGGTAACCCAGTTTCTTCACAGAATTTAATTATATCTTCTTCATCCTGAACAAGTTCCTGAAACAGAGTTGCACAGAGACAGCTAAATAACTAGAAACCTCCAATAAGTTATTCAGAACTATGTCAATGAACTACTAATAGGGATCAATGCACTAAAAGCAGTTAAATAAACACTCAAATGAAAATGAACCACGAGAATAAATAGTTAATCTAGTAATATGTGATTACCACAATTTAGTATTGTGAAGTACTAAAAATCTCTATGCAATGCCTATCAAAAGAAAATCTGCGTACTAGCAAATAAACCTAACACAACCCTTTCTGTTGACCAACAAGGATTAATAGCCAATTGTACTTGAAGTTACCTCAATATACTGTAGGCCACAATTCATCACAGAAGAACCAAATAGAACTGCTTCTTCATAGGTCCATTTCCGATTTGCATCAGCACGGAGGTTAATCTGGTGGCCAACCTTCTTTCTAACTTCTTGTATAACCATGGCATCTTCAAGGGGATCTGGCCGACGTGCTACCTGTTATTGGAAGAACCATTACTAAGCTAGCTAGTATTTGAGATTATTTTGTAATTTAAAAACCTTCAGTGAACTAATAGTTTTCCAGAAATAGGAGCCCAAATTACCAAGTTGCTTTAGGAAATTTCATCTAGAACAAAGTAATCTAGAAACAATATAATTTGGCAAAGATTTCTAGCTTTTAGTTTCATTGCAGTGAAACCTTCTCCAACAAGTGCAGCAACAATATCAACAACATCCTTAGGAGTCCCATTGGAGTCAATAAGAGCACAAATCTGAACAATAGATGACCTTTCAGATAACTCTTCTTGCGTAGCTGTCTCACGATGGAGTATATTCAATAAACTGGAACCTTCACTTGCTGCTATAGCATTAAGGATTGCCATTTCCAAACCACATCTGACACTTGGAAAGATTGAGCCTGGCTATATAACACGGAAAGAGCTTAAACTTTTATCCATACAAAGTTGAGAAGACAACTAGCGAAATTCTTTACCCAACGTCTTTCGTTGGTTATTATACTATCGAGAAATATTAATATTGCATTTGTAGAATGAAGGTGCATTGACATACCAAGATTCCTAAACTGTTCCATATCCAACAAGAAAATGAGCCCTTTAAAAGAGGAAGCAAGTAACTAATCTTTGTTGCTTATACGGCATGAATAAGAAACCGAAGTTGCTCTTCAACGTCAATCAGGTTTTCTTCATGGATCTCCAGAGGTGCAACCTGTTCAAAATAATATTTTATGAGAGATGGTAAGGGAAGAAATTTTATTTTCAAAATAGAAAAGAAAAGAAATTTAGTAGAATGAAAGAGAACACAAAGAAAGGTTGTGATTATCAAATAATATGTTTGACATGTATTGTACCATTAGGGAAATTTTTACAACAACGTACATATGTTCCTGTCTTCCTTCCAGAAAGGGGGGACTCCTAAAGTTTTGCCTTCAATTATCACAATTTTGCAGTGAAACCAGTAATTATTAGATCCATATCTTTCTCATGTAACTGAGGGAATTAGAGTATCTAAAGGGCTACTGCCTACATGCATCTCTCAACTCAAAAACTAAATCATTTTATGAATTATGATGTTGCAAATCCACATCAGTAAGTAAAATTAAGTCACCCCAACTAATTATAGTTGTTTTATTAGAAAAACAGAGCCATTGGTAGGTGTAAACTATACAAAGAACCCATACATATCAACCACCATACTAAAGTCACCTTGCAATAAATCAGAGATTGAACCACAGTAATAAATTACTACCACCACAAATCTATTTTGTTATTATTATTATTTATTTATTTTTAAGGTCTCATGCATCTTGAATCCAGCATCAGTGTTGCAATCTTGCAACTACGTGAGAGAGAGATTCATACCGTTTCTTCAAACGACGATGGGCGAGCGAGAGACAGAGAACGATGTCAAGAGTTTGAGCGAGCCAGTGCCAGACTAGGGCAAACATAAATAAAAGAAAATAGGGAAAATAAAAACCTTGAAAAATGTTGTCATATTTTTTGCTACGGTTAAATAGACGGTCACAAAGAAATAGACGCAAAAAGTCAATTTTCTAGTAGTGAAGTATACCAAATAAAACCAATGCCCCATGAAAAATTTTAGTAAAATTTATAAAATTGCACATCGTGAATAAATAGATGGTAGGAGCTGCTCTATAAATGTATTTCAAGTGGATTTAAAAAGATGAAATTGAACAATTTAATCCAAAATAAAAAAATAAAAACAAAAACTGTGGCAGACGTGACATTGTATTTAATTACAGCAATTACATCAAACAGAGAGTATTTATAGCATTGGAGATCAAACAGGTGAATCATTCCAGGTCTACAATACCAAAATTGGAGAGAAGAATCTTTACATGATCAACAAAATCGGAGCCTGTTGCATACTCTGTAAGCATCCCAACAGCAAAACAAAACATTGCCCATCTGCTCAAAATATATAATAAATAAATCAAATAAATCCCAAACAAAAAAACAACAGAGAAGAAAAGACCAGGTCAAGAAATTGCCTTACCTCTACAAATATATAAATTGATTAAGGGAGCAAAATGCAAATTTATAAAGGATCAAAGCAATTGAACTCAAATTTGGGCAAGTCCATTCAAACAAATCAATAAAACTTCAATTTTTATTCGAATAATACCAAGCAATAAAGTATATATAGCACATGATTCGTGACTTCAATTCCTTGAAAGTATTTAAAAAGTAACTTCATGAAAAAGTTGTAGAATCCTTTGTAAAATGATGCCATTGGTAGCTTACTTGAACCCAGAAGTTAGGTCAGTAGCAATACAAGAAAATGCATCGTTGTGGCTTATGATTCTTTCACAGTCAAATTTAAAAAGTTCAACATCCTAAGAAAGAACTTTGGTTCAAATAAATTAGAATCCGCGAGCATCAAAATAACAAGCCAGGAGGGAAACAAAGCAAAAATGTGTAGAATCCTTTGTAAAATGATGCCATTGGTAGCTTACTTGAACCTAGAAGTTAGGTCAGTAGCAATACAAGAAAAGGCATCGTTGTGGCTTATGATTCTTTCACAGTCAAATTTAAAAAGTTCAACATCCTAAGAAAGAACTTTGGTTCAAATAAATTAGAATCCGCGAGCATCAAAATAACGAGCCAGGATGGAAACAAAGCAAAAATGCATACACACAGAGAGAGAGAGAGAGAGAGAGAGAGAGAGAGAGAGAGAGAGAGAGACATGTTAAAAAAAACTAGCTCCACGAATGCAGTAACGTAAAACAACTACAGAAACGTGACACCAGAACCCATGTACCTCACTAGGAGGTCAAGGTTCAAGTCTTGCCACAAGCAAGACTTCCTATCCCATGGGCTATGTATGCCAATGTATCCAAAAAGAAAAAGAAATGTGATACCACTGTCAAATTACTCCACACGCTCTGGTTTCATTTTACTACTATGAAAACATAATTTTTCGGGAGCCCAATAGTTTCATCACATGGGTCACTTCACACTGAATAGCCTAAGAAACGTTAATTTAATTTTTGATTATTGTTCATGATGAATTAAGTCATAGTTTCTTCTTTACTTTTTGAAGTGAATGAATTTTGTTCTTGAAGTTAATGGATTTTCTTTGGTGGCAAAACATAGCTGACTTCCATTATATCATTTCAACCGAAGTAGCCAGTTGGGCGAAAGCAAACTGACTTCTCTTATACTGAAAATGGTTTTATTCATTTCGTTAGAAATAGAGTACAGATAATTTGACTGTGATATATATATATATATATACATATATTAATAAATAAATAAAATAGACATATACAAAAACAAGAAAGACATTTACAACCATAGAATTGCAAGTACTGAAATGATCCCCACAGAATTGCAACCATATAAAGATGTGAAAGCTAGCTCTAATTCAAATCAATCAAGACTGGCTTTATATACAAGCTGATGCAACAATTGATTGTGATACGGGCACTTGAAATAGTTTGCAAGGTTGAAATCAATTAGAGCATCTCTAATATTGATTAAATTTGAATAAAAATTTGATAAAAAATTTAATCTGATATAATATTTTGTTGTTTTGGAAATAATATTCACGATCACTTAAAAAAATAAATACATAACCAATGCATGAGAAAAATTGTATTTGTGAATAAAGAACTGAGCAATTGTAGGTTTAGGAAAATGAACTATGCTAATTGTTACAGGACATCAAAATATTCCCTCAATATGTCTATTTGCCTCATATTTATATTTTCTTATATGTGTTTTGGAATAGAAATGTTGAGGCTTATCAACTAGAGGAAGACATCACTCATACAATATATAATGCACATTTTTTCCCTATCCGTGACAGAGCATTATAATCAGTAGCTTGTTTTAATACATAACCAGAGCATGTTGAAGATAATTTCAATGATCTAATTCTGAATATGAGAAAACCGTAAGTTGAAATAATAATTCCAGAATTCGATCCACAAAAATGAAGATAAGTAGATAGTGAAATGTATATATAGGTTGCTACGATCATCTGTAAATGAAAATCAAAAGCTGAACTGTACCAGTAGAAGCGAGTCCTGCTCGGTTATCTCCGATTCCTTCACTTTCTGTACACACAACCTGATCGATCGAGAAGATTGCAGTGAGATTAGTGGATAAGCAAGTTGAATCGATCATTACACACAACTTGATTTCTGTACACATAACTTGATTTCTCAGATCATTATAGAGAAAGTTGAATTGATGAAGATGTGTTTAGGCTTACCGATTATGAAATCTTCAACAGTTGTGGACTTGAGAAAGTTGAATCGATTGACAAATTCGAGCGAGAGAGGCAGATTTTGAGAGGGAGAGGGAGAGAAAGAGAGCTCAGATTTGGGAAAAAAGGGGGCGGATTGAGAGGAAGAGAGAGAGAGTCAAGTTTTATAAGATTTTGATGGTAAAATAAGATTATGATGTCCAAAAATCATTGGGTCAGGAAAATGAGACAGTAAAATAAGATTTCAATGTCTAAAAATGATTTTTTGCGACTGTTCAATAATCAGTCGCAAAAAAATAGACGCAAAAAGTCATATTTCTAGTAGTGAGGGGCCCATATCATTTCATGTTGTACCTTTTAAATATAGTGTGGTAAGAAAATGAAATGAAATGGTTATTTTCTTTGGGTTGATGTTCGATTTTTATTTTAATGTATGTTTAGGTATGTTTGTTTGTTGAAAAAAAAAAACATACCTAGAAAGGAAGCAAATCAACTACATTAACTTGATATAATATAAAAATTAAACAATGCAATGTGATTGCCCCCAGGAGTTTAAAGAGATTAATCAGTAATTAAATATTTTGGCTCTTCCATCGCATCTTATTAATATTACAGTTGCTTTTTTGGAAAATTTGACTACAAACGTCTCTTACCTTTCTTTTATTGTTAAAAGGACCAAGAAAAAAATTATACTTCCAAAACCCCCTTGTAACACTCCAAATTTCTAGTTCAAATGATAATACAACAATCATGGCTCTTTCAAGAAAAACCTAATATAAATTTTCAAACTTACATTACATGATACAATAGTTCTTCATGCAACAATAAAGTAATCCAACAATAAGAAAATAAACAAATAAATACCTCCAAGAGTTTACAAGTTACCAAGGCTTGAGTCTGGTTACACAAAATGGTTATTCAAACCCACACACATACAGCCCTTGACTTATACACAGAGTCACAGCAAAATGAGAGTCTCATACTCTCAACACACATTTCCTTGCCTTTAGTGAGGCGGTATTACCACATCTTTTCCTGCACAAAAATCTCGTAGAGTGACCATAAAGTCCAGTAGAAAATCCTTAACAAAGTATATACATTTTATACAAGTCTCAAAAGATGAAATGCGCATGACATGCTATGCCCTTTTTGAAGATAAATCACATTTTCATCTTTTAAAAACCATCATGCTCAATGATGTCATGTAATTTCAATTGTTCAAAACTTAACAATTTATTTCAACGGCAGTAAATACGACTCTGGTAATCCCTACATTGGTGTCTGTAAGTAGACTATACAAGTACTACCAAATTGTCATTTTTACCGGTATTAACCGGAAGGCTCGACACCTATCTGCGCGGGTTTTCGTTCTTCCAATCCGGACTCTCAGGCCAACTTATTCAATATTATCTACATCACCTATCAAGACTTACCAACGTATTTACCCCAAAACCATTTCATGAAAACTTGCTTCTCAACATTCTTT